TTGGGTGGAATATTGCATCACAACAGAATTGATGAACTATCTGATAATATGCAAATTCAGTAAAAGGATGAAGAAAAGAGGAATAAATTGAACGAAAAACTGTTTTATTTGTAACGGCTAAAGGAAGTTGAAATAAAAGATGAATGTACCACGAACAATCATTAAAATGACCTATCACTTAATTATGATAGGACGAAACTATATTACATGAATAACAATGTGAATTCATCAGATTTTTGTGGTTTTCACTGAATACCTCAATTATAACTAACAGACAACAGTAGAAACTGTTACAATTAACTATATATCTGGTAAAAACAAAAGCAAACCTCTCTCCAACAACTTGAAATACTTCCCAATCCCTACAACTCCCTGAAAATTCAGTTGAACTGGTGCTCATTGGTGACTACCTTCGAGAGGTATCCCCGAAGTCCTAATGAGAAGTTGTGACCAGTGGGGACAAAGCCTGATGGTTGTGAGGACAGTTATCCAACGATAACATTGGGTGGCGGTCGCGCTATATCGTGAGCTAACAGAAGTTGGAAATATGGATGACTGGATTCTGACCCAGTGGCTCAATGGTAACGTGCTGGCCACGGAACCTGAAGATCGCGGGTTCGATCCCTGGAGTGCGGGGTCGTGGGTGTAAACTGCTGAGGAGTCCCGCACTAGGACGAAACAGCTGTCCAGTGCTTCCAGGTTTCCTTTGTTTTTCTAACTGATGGCAGTCTACGATGAATAATAACTTGAAACCTCTATCCATTAAATGTAAAAATAACTTTGTCGAAGAAATCTTAAAGAACAACTATAATATTATCATGTGATAAGTGAAGAAAAACTGCCACAAAACGAGCAAGGTAAACTAAATCTAACAGGCACAAAGATAACTTAGAGGCTGAATCATGTTTTAACTATTGAATAAAAATTCATTTTAAAGATTTTTCTCTACAAATCCCTCAAAAATGGAGTAATTGAAAAGACTATGACGGTGACAAATAGATCAGTGTTACTAAGGTCTTACGGCTGATTTAAGATGCATGAAGTGGATATACTTTTGATTACTACAATTAGTTTCATTACGCAAAATATTTTTATACAGTCTACTGAAAGAATAATAGGGCAAGCATAAATATCTCATCCTGACAGGTACATTTCTGGATGAAAGCCAGGAACTAAGGATGAAAGATAATTAAAGGATAATGTATTTTTTTATATATAACTTCACTTTTAATCTTGAATCAACGTAATTCTGATCAAAATGGTCATGAATATTGTTCCGTATTAGATTTGTTTATTTGATATAAAGCGCACAGTGATACAGTATTATTTAATTGATTACGTTTCGAGCATAAATTATTACTGCTCATAATCATATCAATGTAATCACACACAAGTTTCGATATCTGATTTTATAGTCCTGTCACCTGATCTCTCTTTGTTTTTTGATTGGTAGTAAAGTTTTCCATATCTCTGGTATAGGTGGTTGCGTCATTCCTATTACATGTGTTGGGTGTGGATTCGATGAACAAAGATTCAGTAATTAATCTGTCTCAATGATACAGTATTATTTACTTTGATATTTACATTGATATGATTATGAGCAATAATTTATGCTCGAAACGTAATCAAGTAAATAATACTGTATCACTGTGCGCTTTATATCAAATAAACAAATCTAATATGGAACTACATTCTACCACAGTGCCCAAGTTTTTCACTTATATTAATCTGTCTCAATGTCCACCTAGCTATATTAGACTTAAGTACAGTGGTTTTGTCCCATCCTATTGTGTGGTTGTGTGTTAATGAATGTAGTGCAATGGCCGAGTGTTTTTCTAGGTTATTGATCTTATTGGGGTCTGCCGTTCTATGTTTAGCTAAATTCCTATGTTCTGTTAATCTAACTGACCCCGACCGGCTAGTTTCACCTATGTATTTGACCTCACAGTCATTACATGGAATTTGGTAGATTATATTATTTTGCTTAATTGGTTCTATCGGATCCTTATGCCGGCCGACAAAGCTTACCTCTAAGTGAGTTTGTTGGTTTAAATGCCACCCTAATTCCAACCTTGTTGAGAATCAATCCTACGTATGGTTTCTGATGTTCCTTCCTTGTATGGTATCACAATAGAGGTGTTGATTTCCTTTCTACTTATGTTGTCACTATTATTTGTATTTGTATGAATATTGTTCTTAAGAATGACCAAAATCTCTCAGATCGTATAGAAGTTGCTATTCCAAAAGCTGAAGTGATTAACTCATCTTTACTTTATCCCGTAGATTTACTAATCAACATTAAAAACATCAATGAAATGACTGAAAGCAGAATTAACAATTAACGAAGTAGTTCTTTGTCTGTAATCAATAGTCATTCCTCTGAGTACAGGGAAAATTTGACTTCTGTTCTAAGACGAAATAGTCGTATTTCTTAAACCGAATGAAAATCAAAACATATTTATAACTAGAAAACCAAAAATTTGAAAGGATGTAATTCATGAAGTAGGATAGAAAGAATAATGACATTTTGTTTTCAAATGTTTTCATCAGTAGAACATATGACGAAGTCACACATATTCTAGTGTATAAGAAATTCTTACAAACTCATCAAATTTGAAATTATAACAGAAGTCACTTTATATTTCGTCTAGTAATATTATTTCCCAAGATTAGAGACTCAATGAGACTTTGAAGAGGTATAGAAAGCGAAAGTGTGAAGACTTAAAATTCCATAGATATTTGTTCTTTGTTATTATTATTATTAGTCCCTTGGGTTCCTAGTGGAACATAGGGCTTCAGTAGCACTTCTCCATTTCATCCTGTTCTCCGAGATCTTTTGAACCTGGTTCCACGACAGCCCACAAGCTCTCATTTCCTCCTCGCACGACCTCCTCCATATCACCCTCAGATGGGACGTCCAACTCGTCGCTTCCCATGGGGATTCCACTCGAGCAACTGGCCTGACTTGTGATGTCCTCAGTCGGCCTTCTCAGTGCATGCCCAATCCATCTCCACTTCTTCCTGCATATTTGTTGTGATAGGTTCTTGGTTGGTTCTTCACCAGCCAGAGCTCCTTGTTGCTTATTCTCATTGTTCTGGCCATCTGATCTTCAGTAGTGAGCGTAAGCAGTTGTTGATGAATGTCTGTAGTTTGTTGGAAATGCCTTTCGTGACGCGCCAAGTCTCTGAACGATACAGAAGCACTGACTTGACTGACGTTGGTGTTGAAAATCCGTATCTTGTTCCGCATGTTGAGTGCAGAAGATCTCCACACTGGTTTCAGGCTAATGAACGCCTGTCTTGCTTTTCCGATTCTGACTTTGACACCCTCGTCTGTGCCTGTGCTGCCTGTAGTTGAAACAGTGCTTCCTAGATAAGTGAAGGAGGTTACTTCCTTTAAGTTTCTCCCGTTGATGGTGATTGGAGTTTGTTGTTGTTGTTGATGGTGGTGGTGCGGTATCTTTATCACTTCTGTCTTCTCTATATTCACCTGAAGTCCCGTCTTCTTTGTTATTAGAAGAGGTTTATATATGGAACAGAGAATAAATAGTTCAATCACTATAAGCCATTAAGTAAATTATATAACCCTACATCAAAGATGTTTCAGAGATTGTCGAGATTAGAGTGGCTTTCAAACTAATTACACTTTATGTAGGCCAAAGAATTCATCAATGCATGAAGACTAGACAAATATTATTTATCAAATCAATTGTAAAGACTATCTGCAACACTTAGTATGCCAGTTCATCTGTCATATTGCTTCAACAACTCGATAACAGGAGACATCAGTAAATAAACACAATACGTCATCCAAGGTTTCAAATCATGTACACACTGACAAAATCGATTGGAAGAATGTGGAAAATCAAACAAAGAGGTAGGTTTAAAAGGTCCAAGTTTAGCATTCAGATGAAAAGTCAGTCAATAGACACTTGGATACAGACCTAATCTATGATGTACTCAAGAAGAAAATATCAGTTCATCAACTAGCTCCAAATTGAAGAGCAAATTAATAATCGAGGACTTTGTTAATAAGAGATAGAGTGATATTATTTCCTTCAACAAAGATAACTTTCAGCGTGACCCACTGAATTCTAAGACCTAAACGTCAGGGCAAGATAGCAATCTTCTCTACGTATCAGTAAAAAAATACTACCTAGAAGTTAGTGTTATCTTTGATTATGCCTCAATTCTTAATAAAATCTGTATTGTTGGTGTCATCATCTCTATTGATAATCACTTCTTGAATAATTGTCAAAGGTCAGAGAACATCGAGCTACTATCCTATCTTACGAATCTTTTCTATCATTTAATTTATAAGCGGAAATTCCAACCAACAAGAAGTGGGCTTTTGAAATATTTCAGTGTATCATAATGAATTGATATGTATTAACGCCTAATTGTCACAATGTTCGACTTTTTCTTTTATTTCAGTGAATACTAATTCATAGTAGGGATGGATAGTAGCTAGCAGTGGAATCCAGGATGGGCATTTCGTCCTATTTGGGACTCGTCAGCTGGATGTACCTACCTCTCACTGAGTGATGTTATTCCCATCGGGATTCGGACTCCAGAGCGATCGCTCCAAACTTCAGAGAGTAATACACCACTTCACTGAGCCATGTTAGCTACTTCTTGTGCGACAGGTATAGTTTGTGTTACTGCTTGTATTACACCGTCTTTGACTGGACCGAGTTGACCGGTCTCTATTGGTATATGGGCTCCTATGCGGTTGCCTCGATATTACCTACCTTCTAATTATAGTTATGATGGATACAATTGATAGTAATTTACTTACAAATTATTGTCAAATTATGGCATGTTTTGGCCTCATACGCCTTCACACCCGTTACTATTGGCTATATTTCATTCACATTTTGGTTAACTCTACTCTACCAATAAAGATTGGTGTGAACACATTCAAACATACTTTTTGATTGGCGAATTTGTTTAATTAGTAAGCCATTGGATAGGTTGGGTAATTACTGAAGAAGAGCTCGATTGGCTCTCATTTGAACAGTAAACAATAAAAGGCAACAGATATTCGAAGAATCAGAGAGCAATTGAAAGTAAAAATGAATTACAGTCTATTGTTTCAGATAGCCTTACTTTGTGTTTGTGCCTATGGAATCTCTCTGGAAGGTAGATATATATATTTCTGTTAATTGTATAATTTACATCATGTTTTTTATTATGTGAAAAATGTCATTCTGTATTTTCATTTCTTCTTGTAAAAATAATCAATATCATATCAGTTTATTCGAAAAACTGATTTGATGATCACTGAACGTATTTACTTCATATGAGAGTTGATTTACATGTCGAATAGTTCGATATGCGAGGTTCGAAGAAGGTTCATTAAGTGCAAATAGTCTACAATTGAAATGAGTTATTAGTTGTAGTAATAATAACATAATATGCCTTAAACATACAGAAATAAGTAGAGATTTGAAATCCCGGTACAGTTGAGAAAACTATCAATAGAAAAGACACGTGGACTGATCAGTACCTTTACTACAATAGCTTCTGTCCAGTCAACTGTAAGCGCAGTTTACTCAGGACGCTATTCATTAGAATAAAAACTCTGTGCTTTGAAGATAAACAAGAAGAATTCGAGATAATTGAGAAGGCTCTTATAGAAAATGGATACTCGAAGAAATTCATCATGAAGCATGGAAAAGAGCTGATTGGGAGGCCCAAACATTCGACTGTTGTGAAGAGGCCTGTTTACCTTCACCTAGCATTCAAAGGTGATGAGGCATCTAAAAAAATATACAGAAGAATAAAAGCTGCACTGAGAAGAACCTTTCCAGCTATCAGTCTGGTCTTAGTTGACAATACATTATGCCCAATAACACAGTTGAAAGAGGACAAACATCCATCTCACGTCACCTCCAACTGCGTATATCAATTCACCTGTGCTTGTGGAAGCAAGTACATAGGACGGAATGAAAGAAGGGTGTCTACTCAATTTTATAAGCATATTCCGAGAAATCTGTGTCTTAATGGTAGCAAGGTCTTTTTGTGCTCAATCGCCAGGCCTATAATGAAAACAGGACATCAAATAGATGTTTCCCAATCTTCCAGGATGATCAACAAACAAAGGACACCATGTTTAATACGGTTTGTGGAAGCTCTCGCTATCAAACATTTCCATCCTGGCCTATGTACTCACAAAGGAGACTGTGATTAATCTTTCTTTATCTTGGTAAATGTGTGTAGTTTTTTGCGTGTGTATGCATGTATATAGTCTTCGCTTCTGTTTTCTTTTGATCGGATCATCTCTTCATTAACCACTTTACGATTTTCAAGTTTTTCATGTAATTGCGCAACCTTTCAGCCCTTAAACAATCTCTTCTTTTGTACTGATTTTCGTTTGTTGTCCTCCCACTCCTCACAGATTGAGAGTTTTCTATCTCATCAGATATAAGTAGTTATAGATTTTGACTATGATATGTAACTATTAATCCCTGTGTTTCCTTGACTTACTACCTTGTTAGTCCTGGATTTAAAGTATGTTATGTTATTATTACTACTAACAACTCGTTTCAATGTAGGCCTGTTTTCATCTGATGAAAAGCTATAAAATAAAATTAGCTAATTTTATTCTGTAAATATCTTTGTTCTTGCATTATTCAAAATGATGTAAATTAATCCATTGACAGTAGTTACACTGGATGAATTCATACAAAAGTAAACAAAGAACTACACTGAATTTTATGCATAATCTTTTTACTTACATTTGATTTTAGAAGTGAGAAAGAATAGGAAACTGTTAGGAAAGAAGATTGAAAACAACAGAAGTAAGTTGATCTTTCAATGGTATCATTTCAAGTATGATATCTGTTTACTGGTCACACAGAGATTATGTCCCATGTTTATATTTTATGCCAACTGTATCTTCCTAAGATATCAAGATTCTCAGTGATAAATCACTTGACTTCTTTACTATAGAAACAAAATTCTTAAATTATCTGATAAAGCTTAATGTAATTTTTACATTACTTTTCAAATTTGATCTATGCTAACAACACAATCTATTTGATACAAGTAATTCTGTTATCATCTTTAAACTAAAATTGAATTCATTGAATCCTGATATTGTATCTGTTAAAATCTGTTTTCAGGAAAGATCAGTAGTGTAGGAGATGTTATGACTAATATGCTGAAGCAGTTACAGAATGAGATTGGTAATACCCTTTTGAATTTATTATCATTCCACACTTTGTAGTTGTTATTCATTTTTGGTGTATTTATTCACTTTACACAAAAAAAGTTTTATTATATATACACACATGAAACATGTAACCATCATGTTGCTCATATTCCTGTAGTCATGATTTCGTATAAGCATAAGGAAGTTGGCGGCTTCGTTAATATTCTTCCTCATTTTGTGTACTCATGCTGAAATTTTGCGATAAATGCGTATAATACAGTAATTCAGCATAGTATACAGGGTTCATGAAATCAAAACTTAAACGAAGTACACTTTTCCCCTAGGACTCTTTATCCACCTACAAGAATCGTTGTAGCCCTTTTGGTATGAAGTTAACTGCCATTGTATAGTTTAAAACTGAACTGTACCGGACAGACTGAAACGTGCAGTAGTCTAGCTAACTTGGACTGTGCTGTAACTGAATATTTATCATTGTACGTGCATATTGGTCACCTCCGGGCAAAAGATAACCATTGACCTGTAGTCACCGAGTTAGGAGAAAACCCATCAGTTGATAATATCAAGACATCCGGACAGGAGACCAGATGGATTTGTTCTAGCCTATGAAAATATACTACTACAGGTCATAAGATAATACCGTAACCACTGCACAAGGAGTGGTTGCTATAACTCACCAACCGAGTGGATAATGATTCTTCCTTTGCAACAATGGGTACTGCGTTCCAGTTTTAACGATAACAACTTCACTCCCTTAGATGCGAATGCATCCGACTGATTAGTTCGATATAGGACGAAATGCTTATCTAGGATCCAACTGTTAGCCAATGTCCATGAATACTATTAAGCTCTTGACAAATCTTTATTGATAGTCTTCTCTATAAAGTATAGCTTCATTATCATTTCATATTTCGGTCCAGTTTTATAGCAAAACAGCTTTCTTTAGTCTCAGTAAAACATTGAACCATTTAATTAATATGACACAAAATGTGTTTTCCTCACAATTTTTCAGATAGTCTCAACGAAAAATTGTCAATAGGAGGTGAAACAATCAATGATTGTAAGTGAAGATCTCAGATAATCATATGCCTAAATATTTCTAGTTGTAAAATGTAAAACCAAATTTCTTGAAGGCAAGAAAGCAATTGCTTTTGTAAAAGGTTAGTAAACACTAAAATTTAAATTGTACAAAATAATCTCTCATAGTCATATACCATTTTATTTATTTGTTTATAACTTATCTATATTTTTGCATTTAGCTAATCATGGTCAAGTCTATGTGTTTGGAGTTGCTGTTCAATATACAAATATCTGATATACAACCTGCAGAGGTTTTTAGTGGTGGGATTTAAATATGTTAACGAATAAACATCTTACCACTGAGTGGCAAAGATAACATAAACCAGCAAATGTCTAACGGATCTTAAGTATCCTTGTTGAAATTTTGTCAGCAGCCAGCTTGTTCGAGCTGATACTACTCTTCAAATAAGTAAAGTGATGGATCCATCCTGCCATATCATTCCCCATGAATAAAAATGTGGGTAGTTTCTGCCAATGTTTCAACATAGTTTTAAATTTGACAAGCAAGAATTGCATGTCAGATATATGCAGGTTTCTGCCCAAGGTTCTCATTTTGTCAGTACTTCAAGGCAATCACATGATCTCCAGAGAGTAGATCAATCTATGTGAAGTCAGAGTTTACTGAGTGTATGTCTATTAGTGCATGTATAGTGAAATCGAAGGGTAAATGTGCCAGTTGGCATCCTTAGTGGGTCATCATTTCATATGACAACTATCCATAGACGTTAACGTGGCTACATGAGTTCCAGTTCTGAGCTTTCATTAGCGTTATGCTTTATAGATATCTGATTATTGCTTTGAATTTTCACTGTTGTTTTCCTGGTAACTAAACCTGTTTCCTTTTTGTGAAAATTTTAGTTATCCCAGAAATTATCTCTAACGAAACGAGTAATTTTGGTATGCAATTATTTCCCATGACTTTTCACTAATACTCAGTTTTAACTGGTTAACCTCTACAACATATGTAACCAGATATCTAATTACTGCATCATCATAACTGTATGAGAGATTAGGAAATTATTCTCAATGTACAGAATTCAGTTTCTTGAATGCAAAAACGTGTCAACACCCATTCTTCGTCATTAATTGCAGTAAATATCTTTCAAGAAATATGGAAGACGTTGTTTTCTATGATCTACTCAATCTTTATAAATACTAACTTCTGAAGATAACATGAATTTCATCTTCATTAGGGATGGGAATCAAAGATTTAGCAAAAATGAAAAGTTGCTTTGGAGGTTCCATACAACACTTTGAAAGTAAGAAAAAACATTTATAATCTCATATTTTGCATTTATTTCCAGTTCATTGTATCTTAATATAAACAGTTAATAAATATGCACTTGATCATACGAACCAGTCACCAGTAGGTGAAAGATATCGGTCGCTATTAGAGACACTGAGTGAAATCTGCTTAAACGTTTTCCACTCCATCCACCAGACTGAGTGAATCAATGATATAGGAGCCTATGGACTAGCTTCATGCCTTTCCGTAATAATCAGAAAGATGTGTACGTCTAAGATTTTCAGGCATCTAACCTGCATTATTCAATACTAAATTCCATATTTGATTTATAACACACAGTGATATAGTATCACTATTTACTTGATGACGTTTCGAGCATAAATTATTGCTCATAATCATATCAATGTAATCATATTACTTTCGACATTTGATTTTTATAGTTATGTCACTTTATATGAGTTATTTTTATTGGTAGCAAAGTTTTCCATATCTCTGGTACACATGGGTGTTGCGTCATTTCTATTACATGTGTTGAGTGTTGATTTGATGAACAAAGATTCAGTAATCAATTTCTCTCTCCACCTAATTATATTGGACTTAAGTACAGTGGCTTTATCCCACCCAACCTATTGTGTAGTCGTGTGTTAATGCATGCATAGCGATAGTCGAGTGCTTTCCAACATTATTGATCTTATTTAGGTCTGTTATTCTATATTTAGCTAAATTCCTTTGTTCGGCTATTCTAACTGACCCCGACCGACTAGTTTGACCTATATACTTGACCTCACAGTCATTACATGGTATTTGATAGGTTAGATTATTTTGCTTAATTGGTTCTAATGGATCTATAAGCCAAAAAAGTTTATCTCTGAGTTCGTAGGTTTAAATGTCACCCTAATTTTTACCGACTGGCTCAAGAAAGATATAGTATATGCTTGTAGACTAAGTCCCACTTTCGGAATTATCTCATCAAGCCACTCAAAATTTTATTCTGTCAAATGACACAATACACTTATTTTTCCACTACACTTTCAACTGGGTTTAAGCATTTATTTTCAGGCTTTCCATGATGCTAGTGAAATTATTCATTTTCAAAGTATATCACATACACTCAGAATGTTGACAAAGGAGTTCAAATTAGTGAAATAATGGAGAATATTTGTAGCTCAGGTGGATGGTCTTGGTTGTAATATGTTCTCTGAGCTGGCTGGGTTGTTTAATCGTGAAGCTTTCATCGTCTTTCTGGATGACATCAGTCAGCAATCAATAGTTGTATAGACATAGACCCAATCTATCAACCAATAAGAAGAATGATAAACGACAGAAAAGTCAGAGGTGAAGCAGAGGAACAGCCAACAGGAAAGTCTATACAATCAATGACACAGCAATCAAAGGAAACAACCAATGACAGACCGTATCATCAGAGCAAGCCACCAAATCACTCACTGATGGAGAGATATTGACAACTCACTCACTTCATATTGAAGTTAGTACTGATGATATCGCTGTTTAGAAGGACGATGAAAGCTTCTTCACGATTAAACAACCCAGCCAGCTGAGAGAACACAATATAACCAAGAGTTCAAATTAGTTCACGAAACTGGTTGTCTTTAAAAAGGTACAGAAATTTAAATTGACATTTGTGGTTTGAAGATAGAAGGCTAAGAGCCTTTATTAATCACTTTATATTAAATCCTTGTGACTACCCAGTTTTTTTGAATCAGTTGATCGGTGGTGTGGAAAACCGTTTTTCTACGAGTCGGTTTCAGGAATTGGTTACTTTATGTGAGAACTAGCACTCTATGAAGAATACGTCTGTCCTTTACTTCTATAATCTTATACTATGTCCTCTGAGGTGTTGCAACCTGTTTGTAAGAAAAAGAGATGGATCAGGTCCAATGTCATTTCCTCAAATCCTATATGGTATGATTAGATCACCACTCCGTCTGCGGTAGGATAAACAGAAGATTCTACTCATGAAGTCGTTCTTTGTAGATCAGGCTAGATAGACATCTCATGGATCATTTGACTGACTGTCCTCTGAAATTTTGACGGAAAGTCTGAGTGGCCTTTCAGACCACGGCTTATCACTTGTGATCAATTTGCTACTTTAAACTTAACTCAGGTTGCATTTAAGGTGGTGAAAAATGTTCTTTGTAGTGATGAAGCTGTCCAAGAACTTTAAGCTAGGATGAATCAGCAGTGTTATGATCTTGAAATCATGATCAGCTGTGATTCCTCGGTCATTGTGGGGTCAGTACTGGTGGTATAACAGTCCCATCAATATCGTAGGTGTTGTCATCTGTGTGCCTGTTTTGCACACCCACATACTTGTCTGCGTTGATAAGCACCAGATGTTACTGTGATCAGGTTAACAAGCTTGTTCGGTCTGACAGAAGTGTGTTCACATCCTCACCATCCTTGATTTCTCTCCAGATTCTCATATAATCGGCGTCTAGAACCGTAGAGTATTTCATGACACTTTTCAGTTCATTGGTGTACGGCAGAAGTCGACTGCTATCTGGAACTATGCCTTGCGATGCCCTACTCTGTGAACTTGAGAGGGGAGAGTTGAGAATTGTTTTTTACCTTTTGTATTACACCAACAAAAAACTCTGTGACGAATGCCAGTAGACTGTCGCTGATTAAGAAATTTTCCAGTTTCCTCAATAACCCAAAGCTAGGTATCTCACCGAACGTCTTACTAATTAAAGTCTACGAAAATTATATCTTATTGTCATTAAATTCAATCCAACCTTCTTTGAATGTGCAGAGGCCCGTCAAGGAAGAGAAGAGTCTGCGAAAGCCATGTCTTGAACGAAACAGTAGAGTGAATGGTGTGTACCTACATCTGCTCCTCTTCTTGACCTCGTGTCAAGTAGGCTGCGTCTCCACTTCCTTCACATTCAGATGAAGTCCATCTGATTTTTAGTCTGTCCTCGTGTCTGGTGAAATCCATGTCGCTCACTTTGTGTATATCCTTGTGTTTGAACACACTGCCTCACTCTAATCACCAAATCGTTGAATGCACACAATTCTGCAAACAATTCTCCATTCTCATTCATTTCACCAAGTGCTTCTCGACCCATGATGAGTTCCTTTCCTGTGTTGTATGCTCCCCACAGTTTGACATTCATGTCGCCCCATCCATTAGGATTTTGATGTCGCCAACTGAGGCGGGGTCTTCTCCACTACTGATTGCAGTTGTCTGTAGAATTCCTCCTTCTTCCCTTCATCTGCATTATTTGTGGGTGAGTAGTGTAGCACTGAATAATTGTGACTTTCCTTCATTTCGAGTTGAATCTTGTTGTCATGATCGTGATGCTTGAGGAGATTGGTTCCCACTGTATGAGAGAGGACCTTCAATGCTCATGGGGACATGATGATAGCCACCCCATAACTCAGTGTGCTCGTGGTTGTCGTTTGGATGACGATATTGGAGTAGATTATTCACTCGTCTGCAGTTGACAGTTTGGAGAGTCGACTTCCATTCCACCTACTTCTGCACATTCCTAACACTTCAGTGCTATACCCTCTCATCTCGTTTGTAATCTGGGCAGCCTTGCTAGGTTCAAACATGATGGGGACATTCCATGTCCCCATTCTTACTTTCGCTTTTATGTAGAGAATGGAAGACACATGGGGCAATTGGCTTCCCGAAGTCTTTCACCAACCGGCATCATTTTGTCTCTCCGATTCCATCGAGGAATTAGTTTTTCTTCCTTAATGTTTGATATTTTGTTTAGTGGTTGGATTGGTTTTCCGTGTTAGGATTGCTAGTCGTGTGCCCAAGCTTCCCTGTGTATGCGGGCTTATGACTGGCTAGTAACTAGTGAACCCGTAACCAAGCATGAGAAGATCAGTGGTGATGTAAATAATTTCATTATGATGAATAACACCGAGTTAATACCCAACTATTTTTCACAATATCAAAGCTTAACTCAGTGAAAAAAGTGACACAAATTGAGAGTTTGAGTATATACAACAACTCCATACTCTTAGAATATTTTCAAGAAATGTATAAATCTGAGAGTATTTTTTTCCATATGACAAAACAGAGTGTATATTTTATCACTGATTATAAATGTTCTGAAAATATTGTTTACTAAGTGTTTTTTTTCATTTAAATATTTAGAATTGGTTGCTGATCATAGTCGTGAGAATTGCGATGCCGTCAAACCAAAGAATTATAAACAAGGTAGAGTAAAACATTATTTAGATGAAACCTAGATTTTAAATTTAAACTTCATCCATAACTATACAGTTTGATAACCCTTGTTTCTGGTAACTTTTTTTAAAACATTAAGAACAAGATATTCAGGGAAGAGACTCTTTTCAACGAATTTATTTTCAAGCTGTACAATCGTATATATATGGTATTTGGAAAAAATTATATCCCGTGAGGAAAACTAAACACTATATGGTGATGACAATAATAATAGAGCGGATGATGACATAGGCATTTATGATGATAGTAACAATTGAAGTGCGAATGATAACAAATAGATTATGTAATATATGGAATGGTACATAGTGAGTATTCAACTCAGAAGGGGGTGAAAAAATTGTTGAAAATGGTAAATCAATTAAGTATTATGTAATGGCGTTAGACAAATTGGACAAGATGAAGTCAATGTTTTCTAAAAGGATTAAGACAATTAAGTGAAACAACACCGGAAACTAGTTGAAGTGAAGGCGATTATATTAACAATAATAGTGATAAAGGAAGGATACAAAGGTTAAATTAACAAAGTGGGAGGGAGAGCTAATGGGGTGGGAAAATGTTATGGCCATGATAAAGACAGTGACTGCACATACTTCTTTTGTACACACAGATCAGGTCTTAGTTCATGAATAGCTAAAGCCTCCTCTGTTTTAAGGAGTTGAGAACGAAGAGAACGTGAGAGGTTTGGGCGAATTCGATAAATAATTTCAAAGTCATCGTCTGGATTTGTTGTGTGGTGGAAGTCAATCAAATGTTCTAGAATCGAACTTCTAACAGACTTTCTTTCACCTTTATAAAACCAAGCAGGAACATGTTCTTGTATACGTGTAGAAAGCATTCTCTGGCTACGGCAGATGTACCTTGCTCCACAGGAGCAGGTGAACTGGTAGATGCACATAACTTGTATTTTAACCATGATAGTATTCAGTTTCATGGATATGAAACAAAGGTACTGTTCCTCATAGAATAACTGAAGTTCATATTTCTAAGCGAAGCCTGTACCGATTGATATGCAGATATATTTAATCTGAAAAATGTCTTACAGACAGCAGGGTATATATAAATAGTTTTGTTCAACCGTCTTATACAAATAAAGCCAAACTGTTTAGGAAACAGTTCAATGAATTATTATCTTGTAGGGCGAGTATGATTGAAGTAATTGAAACAGGCAATACATAATACTATCGATTGTCTAAACTAATGAGAGATTCTAAGTTAAAAGAAGTGAAGATGAAAAGAAACCTATTGTCAACCAGAAAATGTTTACCCCATAAGTTCATTTTGTTCGGTGATATCCAGATTGTATGATTGCGGTTTATGCGGTACCAATGGGTACAGATGGCTATAGATACAAAGCACTGTAGTGGACAAAGGATGATCATAGTGGAAAAGCAACTATACTGAATTCGAGTCTATATCGCGATTTTATGTCATGTTATTCCAGGATATTTACACTTCAACTTCGTAACTCTGTTATAGACATTCACATTTTGTCACCTTCTAACTAGTAAACATATGTTTTGACGACCTTACTTTCAATTGTATTCAATTTTACCTTGATAAAGATGTTAGGCATCATTTTATTCAGCTTTGTCCATTTGGTCATATATTTCATACACAGAAATAGAAGGAGATATTACATCATAGACACAATCACGAATTATATACACATAGGCACACTCTAGTCACTGTTAACAACCATCGTTGTTATCACATATTGAATTGTATATTGTAACTTGTGTTTTGGCCTTGTTAGGTAACAAACAACAAATAGCCTAGAGACACATATTCTATTAGGATAATGTTGCAGATTATAACGAGTTATTTACGTTCAGGATGTGTAAATGTCTACTAAACCTCTTGAAGTAATCAATCACTATGATGATGGAAATGAAAGTGCACATTAAGTTGTTGGTAATTAAAAAAAATAAACAAACATTTTAAATTATACAAAATTGTGTTTACTTTCACAGAAATTTCGAGAATATTTAAACTCATTAGCAACAGAAGTTCCAAAATGTCAGAATTATCTGATTATTTATGTAAGTCAAAATGTTTAACATATGAACATATGATTTCAACTTCATTTAGGCATTTGTAAATCTTTGTCTTAGAATACTCAATTTATATGCAGGTCATTTACAATTGACAAAAGTATATATAGTGTAGATTTTCAGTCAATAAATTGTTTTTTAGAGATGAGTGGGGGTTTTTAATTTAGAAGTAGTATTCGTCATGGACTGGCAATCAGTTGGGAAACCATTGGAAATCTACGAGCACTGGACACCGGCTTCGTCCTAGTATGAGACTTCTCAGTAGTGCCCACCCACCACCCGGCTAGGGGTCGAAATCAGGACCTTCAGGTTTCATGGCGAACACGTTAACCATTCAGCCACTGGGTCGGTTTCCAGTCGTTCACAATTTCCAATTCCTGTCAATTCACAACATAGCGCGACTGTCACCTAAGGCCTTGAGTTAGCATCCACCTCACTTCCGACTGGTTGACCCCACAGGTCACGGCTTCTCATTAGAACTTCCTGATATTCGTCTGCAAGCAAGTCACTAATGAGCACTATAGTGTAATGTATTTTTGAGATGAGTGGGGATTTTTAATTTAGAAGTAGTAATCATCATGGACTGACATTATTTGGGGAACCACTGGAAATCTGGGAGCACTGGAGTTCGATCCCTAGCCGGGTCGTGGGTGCGTACTGCCGAGGAGTTTCATACTAGGACAGAACAGCTGTCCAGTGCTCCCAGATTTTCAATGGTTCCTCAACTGATGTCAGTCCATGATGAATACCGCTTCTGAAATAGATTGTCTATTTATTTTTCGATCAGGTGTATTCTACTCTAAATTGTTTTTGCGAACAATATAATTTTGATCGAATGAACATTCCAACTAAACTATACTCTTAATGTTCTTAATTTCAGTGCGTCTCCGTATACTTGATGACATTCATAATGGAATTCTGACAAATCAGAGTAAGTTATATAGAGAATAAAGTTCAAACACAGAGATAACTTAAAGTCCTATGATTCTTTTATTCACCAAAATCAACATGAAAAGATTTGACCGCATCATACTGGAGAGATTAAAAGGTGCTTTGGATTCAATATTACGACAGGAGCAGGCTGGTTGGATTCAGGAAGAACAAATCATGTGCGGATCAAATTGCAACTCTACGCTACATACCATCATAGGAGAGAGCGTAGAATGCCAGTCAACTCAACTTCATCGATTTTGAAAAGACCTTCGATAGAGTCGATGGAGAAATAATTTGGCAGGCAGTTGCTTCAACACTACGGTTTTAGTGCCACAAACCTTTATCAACCTCATTCAACAGCTGGCTATATGACCACGCCACATGCCGAGTGATTCACAATGGAAAGCTGAGTGATGCCTTTGAAGTGAAGTGAAGAGAGGAGTAAGAAAAGGCTGTCACCTACTATCAACGATCATCTTCCTGATTGTAATCGACTGGTGTGGACTGGATCATGCAACAAACTGTGAGCAGCGAGAAGATGGCCATACGCTGGCTGTACACCGATGAAAAGATCCTAGGAGAAGGTTTTGATTTCTATGATGATGATTTATGTGTAATGTCTTGTCGCACAAACTCGAAGATCTACAGGCAAACATAAACAAGTTGACAGAGGAGGCTGGGCAGTGAAGGAAGACGGGACTTCTTTCAGGTGAACGTGGAGAATACAGAGATGATGAATATACCCAACCAACAACAAGCACCAATCACCATAAACGCGAGAAACTTAAGGGAAGTAGTTTGTTTCACCTACCCTCCCAGACAAGGCAGCATCGTTTCAACTGCAGATGGCGGCGGCATAGGCACAGATGTGGACATCAGAGCCAGCCAGGATCGGAAAGACAGCAAGACACGCCTTCCTTCATTCATCTGAAATAGTCGGTGTGGAGATCTACTACAATACACTCACTCAGCATAAGGCGTGAACAACATCCGGATTTTATACACTAATGCTAGTCAAGTCAGTGCTTCTATGTGATGGTTCACACACTTGGCGCGTTACGAAAAGCATTTCCACTTCCGCCTTCGCAGACTTGATTCTGTCACTGAAGATCAGATGGCCAGAATAATCAGAATAAGGAAGGAGAAACTCTGGCTGACTAATTGCTGGCAACCAACCAACCAACAACACATCCCTCAACAAATATGTAAGACCAGAATGTGTAGATGGATTGGATTAGGCATATACTGAGAAGGCCGATTGGAGATATCATGTGCCAGACGAGGCACTCGAGTGGAACTCGCATGGGAAATGACGATTTGGGTGTTGCAGCTGAGGGTGACATGGAGGAGGTTGTGTGAGGAAGAAAAGTAAGCCTGTTGTCAGTGGTGGAGCCACATGTTTTGAAGACTGCAGAGAAGAGAGTGCAATGGAGGCATGCTACTGAAGCCACATGTTCCACTAGGAACCCAAGTGATAAATAATAATGATAATAATGCTGTGAACAGGAAACTAAAGCATAGAGAAGACTAATTATTCTGCATCTTTGATGTGAACAATTTACACTTCATAAGATGGTAGACATTGTCACAATACTGTTTCAGAAAGTATAAGACTACTCAAGTTGCTCTGTGACAGAGGTGAATGGAAATCGCTTTCATTATCACTGACTATCCAATACTGAAACAGAGGTTACGTATCGAATGACACTGTAAATCATATCTCCTTACTTCGAATTACATTTGGAAATCATACTTTGGAAAATTCTTTCAATGAATTCAACCATTATACACAATTTATTGAGGTAGATATAACCAAGCAAATAAATAATCCATATTCTATTGATGTATTCAAGTTATCTCCAGTCATTTTATTCACATATTCGATTCTCAGATATAGTACATGCTAATATTTGATTAGATGAATAGAGCTGTATACTCTGGATACTCTAATGTCTTTCGTATAGTCAGAATTTTACTTCATAAATTATAGGCCTCTCTTAAACTTAATGTTATTGTTTACATAGTGAATTACAGATGGTGAATAGATTCATATAGTACTGTGAATCGATACCATGAATTATTATATGCCGACTTTTTCGACTCAAATGTTATTCCTTACTGGTTCATTATATGTTTGTGTTTGTTTTCCCTTTTTTTTATAGAGTAATTATATCTCTAAGAGGTTAATGTTCACTTCACACCGTACTATCGATAACAAGCCATTAATTAATTCAATGTCTACTCTGGATAATTTGAAAAAAACCAATTAAATTTTAATTACTTTTACAGACATCTTTAAAAATATGTGTGAAATATTTTATTTATCAATTCACTTTTAGTAATTTGAGCATGTTATAATTTCAAATAAATATTCATCTGTTTATCTATAGTTTTGTAACAATAACTATCAATAGTCATTTTATTGTAAGTCATTAGGAAGATGCATTCATCGAAATGAAACTTTGTTTGTATTTGAAATATATGAAAGCAAAATCAAAGCGACCGCCTTCTTCGCCTTCGTTTACATGAGCACCAATTGACTATTAAACGTCACACACACACGACATTTCATCACTCATTTCAATACACGTGGATAACAACTATGCACATGAATTCAATTTTGACAATGTAGAAAACTTGAAGGGAGAGATGATACACAAAGAATGTCAGAGAATTCCATATTAGATTTGTTTATTTGATATAAAGTGCACAGTGATACAGTATTATTTGATTGATTACGTTTCGAGCATAAATTATTACTGCTCATAATCATATCAATGTAATCACACACAAGTTTCGATATCTGATTTTATAGTCCTGTCACCTGATCTCTCTTTGTTTTTTGTTTTTTGATTGGTAGTAAAGTTTTCCATATCTCTGGTATAGGTGTTGCGTCATTCCTATTACATGTGTTGGGTGTGGATTCGATGAACAAAGATTCAGTAATTAATCTCTCTCTCCTTGTTCATTTTCTACTTCGTAAGTGAATTGGATTGCGTTAACTACCTATGTTGGATTGCAGGATAAAACGAAGGATAGATGGTGGTTTAGATACTACCGTCTACAGAAAACCAACACATTCTAACAGATATCTAGACTTCAAGTCATCTCATCCAGTGTCAGTTAAAGCGAGTTTAGTCAGATGTCTAAATAACAGAGCTGAGAAACTCACTAGTCATTGTAAGGACTTAAAAAAGGAGTTGAAACACATAAAAGAAGCTTTAATAATTATCCCCATCATTTGATTAAGAAATTCACACGGACACATAAGAAGCAAAATAATAACACTAATACAAATACAAATAATAGTGACAACATAAGTAGAAAGGAAATCAACACCTCTATTGTGATACCATACAAGGAAGGAACATCAGAAACCATACGTAGGATTGATTCTCAACAAGGTTGGAATTAGGGTGGCATTTAAACCAACAAACTCACTTAGAGGTAAGCTTTGTCGGCCGGCATAAGGATCCGATAGAACCAATTAAGCAAAATAATATAATCTACCAAATTCCATGTAATGACTGTGAGGTCAAATACATAGGTGAAACTAGCCGGTCGGGGTCAGTTAGATTAACAGAACATAGGAATTTAGCTAAACATAGAACGGCAGACCCCAATAAGATCAATAACCTAGAAAAACACTCGGCCATTGCATTACATTCATTAACACACAACCACACAATGGGGTGGGACAAAACCACTGTACTTAAGTCTAATATAGCTAGGTGGAGAGAGAGCGAGAGATTAATTACTGAATCTTTGTTCATCGAATCCACACCCAACACATGTAATAGGAATGACGCAACCACCTATACCAGAGATATGGAAAACTTTACTACCAATCAAAAAACAAAAAAACAAAGAGAGATCAGGTGACAGGACTATAAAATCAGATATCGAAACTTGTGTGTGATTACATTGATATGATTATGAGCAGTAATAATTTATGCTCGAAACGTAATCAATTAAATAATACTGTATCCCTGTGCACTTTATATCAAATAAACAAATCTAATATGGAATTACATTTCACCACAGTGCCCGAATTTTTCAATTATAATAATGTCAGAGAATTTCTAGAAGCTTGGCATTCAGGTCAGTCAGCAATCAATAGTTATATAGACATAGACCTGATCTATCAACCAATAAGAAGAATGATAGACGACAGAAAAGTCAGAGGTGAAGCAGAGGAACAGCCAACAGGAAAGTCTATACAATCAATGACACAGCAATCAAAGGAAACAACCAATGACAGACCACATCATCAGAGCAAGCCACTAAATCACTCACTGATGGAGAGATATTGACAGCTCACTCACTTCATACTGAAGTTAGTACTGATGATATCGCTGTTTAGAAGGACGATGAAAGCTTCTTCACGATTAAACAACCCAGCCAGCTGAGAGAACACAATACAGCCAAGACCGCCCACCTGAGCTACAAATATTCTCCATCATTTCAAGCAATATATTTATCTGAGGGTTAAGAGTTAGGCTTTTGTAATAATCATCAAAGCATTTGGTTGATTGCAAAATATGTGGCCGTATGTATATTACATGAATGTATCAAAACTTCATAGATGTCATCCATTAATTTTCCTTGGATATTCCTGTCAACAAAGTGCCTTGTTGAACACAAACATATATCTTCCAACTACCGTGTAATGGAATATCTTTTCAATCCAGTTACTCCCATAGTCATTGTTACGAAATCAAAAATGGTAGCAAATGTCAGCCTAACAACACTCAGTCATCTGAAATGCATAGAAAACCATTATCTACGTATACCGTTTCACTCGTTACAGTACCTGCAGAACACAGAAAACAGAAGAATTTCTTGTTTAATTTACAAGAGTGAGGAAATTTGGTGATTTAGTCACTCAGTGTGAAATTGAAAGCTACCTCTACCTCAATTTATGAGTATTATGTTGTCAAAAGTATATTTGTCATTACTGATACCCCAGGTTCCTAGTGGAACATACAGCTTCAGTAGCACGTCTCCATTTCACTCTCTTCTCTGCAATCTTTCAAACATGGCACCACGACAGCCTACAAGCTCTCGTTTATTCCTAACACCACCTCCTCCATGTCACCCTCAGATGGGACGTCCAACTCGTCACTTCCCATCTGAGTTCCACTTGAGTGCCTAGCCTGGGGCATGATGTCCCCAGTCGGCCTTCTCAGTGTATGCACAATCCATCTCCACTTCCTTCCACTACATATTTGTTCAGCTGTAGGTTCTTGCTTCGTTGGTTCGTTGCCAGAGTTTCTTGTTGCTGCTTCTTTCTGGCCACCTGAGCTTCAGTAACGAGCCAGCGTAGGCATTTGTTGATGAATGTCTGCAGTTTGTTGGAAATCCCTTTCGTAACACGTGCAGTCTCTGAACCATATGGAAGCACTGACTTGAGGTTGGTGTTGAAAATCCGCATGTTGTTCCACATGCTGAGAGCAGAAGATCTCCACACCGGTTTCAGGTTAATCAACGCCTGTTTTGCTGTCTTTCCGATCCTGACTTTGACGTGCTCGTCTGTGCCTGTGCCGCCTGTAGCTGAGACAGTGCTGCCTAGATAGGTGAGAGAAACTACTTCCTTTAAGTTTCTCTCATTGATGGTGATCGTAGCTTGTTGTTGTTGGTTGGGTATCTTCATCACCCATGTTTTCTCTACGTTCACTTGAAGTTCCATCTTCGCAGCCCTGCCTCTTCTGTCATCTTGTTAGTTTTCGCCTGTAGGCTTTCAAGTTTGTGTGACATTGAACATAAGTCATCGGCGGCGAATTAAAAATCTTCTAGGATCTTTTTCCGGGTCCAGCCAGCGTATCCCCCTCTTCTCGCTCCCCACAGTTTGTTGCATGGTCCAGTTCAGTCGATCACAATCAGGAATATCATTGGTGATAGTAAGCAGCTTTGTTTCACTCCTGTCTTCACTTCACTTCGAAGGCATCACTGAGGTTCGCATTGTGAATTACTTGGCTGGCATGTGGCGTCTTCATATAGCCAGCTGTTGAATGAGGTTGATAAAGGTTTGTGACATTCCATAGTGTTGCGGCAAGTGCCAAATTACTTCTAGGTCAACGCTGTCAAAGGTCTTTTCGAAGTCGATGAAGTTGAGGTAGGGTTGAGTTGACTGGCGTTATATGCTCTCTCTTATGATGATGTGTAGCGTAGAGTTGCAATTTGATCTGCATAAGATTTGTACCTCCTGAATCCGGCCTGTTCCGGTCGTAGTTTTGAATCCATCGCATCCCTAAGTCTCTCCACGATGATACAGCTTAATATTTTGCTTGGAGTGGACAGGAGCGTGATTCTGCGCCAGTTCTTGCAAACACTTAGGTCACCAATCTTCGGAAGTTTGACAAGATAGCCCTCCTTCCAATCCGCCGGTACCTTTCCTTCCTTCCAGACCTTCTGCAAAGCTGGTGTAAGCATGTCCGCTGTTGTCTCTGCATTCGCCCTCAGTGCTTCTGGTGGAATTTCATCTGCTCGTGCCGCTTTCACGCATTTCAGTAGGTTTATGGCGTTGAGAACTTCGACTTTTGTTGAAGGATTTATGTTCACTTGTAGTTCTGTGGCTGCAGGTGGTATTCCCAGACGAAGTGCAGGTGGTGGTCGATTCAAGAGATTTTTGAAATGGTCAGCCCATTACTTCCTTTGTTTCTCTTCTTTCGTAATTATATTTCCTTCATCATCTTTTATTGGTCTCGTCTGCGTTGATCTCTTCCCTGCCAGATAGTAACCTGGTTATTTGATACAATGTTGTTAGGTCTTTGTCTCTCCTACATGCAGCCTGTTCCCCTTCACTTGTCAGTGTGTCGTGGAAGTGTCTTTTGTCTTTCCGTGCACTCTTCTTCACTTCTTTGTCCAGTGTGGTGTTTTATACATTGTACTCAGTTTCTCTATTCTTCGTTCATCCCCGTACTGCACTGGTTTATCTTCTGCTTCACCATCTTCCTCTTCCTCCTCTATCACCTTCCAGGTGTCCGTCGAGATCCGTTCCACTCCTTATCTTCTTTCTTCTCCCTTCCTAATACAGTTGTGCAGGTTTCTTTCCACCTGGCTTTCAAAGACTTCCAGTGTTCTTCCATACAGGTTCCTTCAGGGATGTTGCTCGATATCTCGCATTTTGTCTTGATGGCTGACATGAAGATTTCATTTGTAGTTTCGTCCTACACTTTCTGTTCCACGTGTTCAACTTGAAATGTGGTCTATCGCCATCCTCCTTGAAGGCTTTCAACTTGATTTTGAAGGCAGATTCCTTGCACTAGACAGTGAATGGTGTGTACCTACATCTGCTCCTCTTCTTGACCTCGTGTCAAGTAGGCTGCGTCTCCACTTCCTTCACATTCAGATGAAGTCCATCTGATTTTTAGTCTGTCCTC